CTGGCCCACAGTGAGGCATAGCTGGGAATTTTAAACTAAAAAATGAAGTCATTCTTGTAATAATGTGAAACTTGGAACGCATCTCAGATGTGCATAAAGAGGACCCAGGTTTTTTGGGTTTTTTTTTAAACAAGTGTCTGGGGAAGTTACTGAGGATCAGTTGGACAGACAAGATCACCAACGAGGAAGAATTAAGAAGAACGAGACAGAGCTCAGTCAGAGATGAGGTGGGAAGAAGGCGTTTGCGATGGATTGGACATATTTTCAGGAAGTCAAGCAGCTGCGCAACAAGGAAAATATTAGATTGGAACCCACAGGGTAAAAGATCAAGGGGAAGATCTCGTGGAACCTGGAGAAGGGTCACGGAAATTGAGGTACAGAAAAGTGGGAAGACATGGAGTGACATCAAATGACTTGCTCGGGACAGGGAAAGGTGGAGATTGTTTGTTCGTAGCCTTTATCCTTATCCAGGGTGAAAAGGCAATGATGATGTTCTGAAATCATTATATTATTATTAATCCACATTTTTGATACTCATTTGTTATATCATCTCATTACTGAAGTATTCTATGACGCTTCGGGTGTGAATAATTAGGCAAATTATCACTATATTGACACTACATAAACAGACAGACAGACAGACACACAAACAGATCGAATGCTGGACCAAAAATAAGAAAGATAAACAGACAGACAGACAGTCAAATAGACAGGCAGACAGACAAACCGTCAAACAGAAATATAGATAGACAGATCGAAAGTTGGACAGACAGAAATGCACATAGACAGATAGACAGACATACAGACATGCATATAAACACACAGACAGACACATACACACACATACGCACACATACCCAAGCACACACGCACACACACGCACATATGCACACACACACCTACATCAACACACAAAAACACATACACCCCCCATACACACGCATACACAAACATACAAGCAAACATTTCCACGCACACACATACACAAACACAAACACAAACACAAACACACATA